ATGCTTGGGTCTCGCTATCCTAGCTATAATGAGCCCCGTGAAGGTCCGATCTGCTAAAAGGATACATGTGCTGTAGACCCCTGAACCAAGAATTTAGGACCGCGATCCATCATAGCTCTCATCAAGGCTGACGGTGTAGGTCTAATATGACAGAAATGAAGCTTGCACACAGCTGACACAGTCATGGAACTTAGCTTGCGTTCAATGCGTCTACCCCAATGGGTGGAAATCCACTCAAGATCGATGTAAATGCCTAAGATACGGGCCGAGTGGAACTATACCTACATCTTCTTCCGCTCAATCACTGCTTGTTTCAATATTCCGGAATCGGTGTTCTATACAGTGGCCTTGCACGGAGAAAACTAGCGCCGGCATCACTCTTTCAGGCGTTCAATGTTGTGGCTGTGTTTCTTAAGGTCTTCTTCAAACCCCACGCATGTATCTTACTTGAAAAGATCTCACTAGAACAAAGTTTCAATGAGAGCGTTTTGGGGCTACTCGTTGGCCTATGCCCGGGATGTAAGTCCATTCATTAGAACCCTTAAGAACTTCGGTGTGAAAAGTACGATGGTAGCACCGCCGCCTGGCTTAGCCAATTTCCTAGAAGTTTTATTCTGCTCGTACACAGAAAGCAGCACCTAATAGCCTAATGCGGTGGAATCAAAGCTAATGGAATCTTGTGGCAGGTGATGATCGCTGTCAGCGGAGCATTCTAACGAGGCAACATGATGCCTTCGTTGATCTCCAGCTTTTGTAGGACGAGTATCGTCTACTAATCCCTAGCCAATTGAACCTGGAACAGCAACGGGTGGCTGTTTATTCACCCCTATGAGGTCAAGTCCTACGGTGGTGGTGTTTTGCCCACAACCCATGAGATACATAATATCACTTTCAATCGATTATTTCTGCACTTCCATTTTAGTTAACATATGGTGATTTAACCTGAACAGATTAAGAATTGGCTAATTAATGAGAATTTAGTAAATTGGTATAGGGGCTCTTTACTTTGTACATAGCAAGCGATCTCCTAGGCACAGAGCGGTCAATTACATCTTGATCAAGTGTATCCTATACAGTATATGTAGCTCGCTTTGAACACGCCTAATCCATCTTGTTCCTATATGTTTAAACGATTTCGGAACATAGCGTTTTAAATTTACCCTTCAATTACTATCCTTGGTGCTTGATAGGGCTCGTGTCGGGCAGATGTAGAGGCCAATCCCCGACGTCTAACCAGTGTTCTTTAAACCGCTCTCCCAAATTCTAGTGTTTTTTACGCGTTATCCTATGTATGTTGGTAGCAGACCATATCCAAGAAGAAAAAAATTGAAAATAAGGTGATTAGGGGGGGGAGCTTGCAGCCCACGCTTCAAAAGTAGGGTTTGTCGCAGGACTTGAAACACCGGATGTATCTTCACAAGAGGATACGTGCATAGGCCAGGATGGAATTAGACCCATTTTAGATCTAAGACAATTTCAGGGGCCTATAATCAATCATCTGCAAAGTTTTTTTCATAGCTAACGGACCGCAGTAGTATAGGAGAGCTTAGGAGAAGACGCCACACCGGAGGCTTGAATGCGGACAAATCGCAGACATGGCCGAAACACGGAATACATAGACTTGGCGTAGACATATATGACATGGCAGAGACAGCCAGGGAGCAGGAACGACAGTGGTGTCATACAAATAAGAAAGGATCCAAGAGCAGAAAAATGCGTGCCCGTAGTCGGAGAGAGGAGTCGTGCGCTAAGCGGACACTCGCACTCACGTACATATTTGTAGATTGTTGAGGATTTTTAACAAAAAAGACTAGACACATTTGGTTTCTGCTTCTGAGATTCAGTACAGGCATCTATGTTTCAAGTGACTTACCAGATGACTTGAGTGGACAATTACTTAATATTGCCTCCAATTTGGTATACATACAGAGTCCTCTGTAGAGTCCCTCATTCAAATTGACCCTTTTTGTTTGTAACCCTTTGTAATTTAGACAGAAAAGGTGGGCTTCCAGATTGATTTGCATAAATAATCCCATCGTCAAGAGCGCCAAGACTATACCTAATTAGGCTGGTCTCCCTCTGTATTACATACAAAAGGTACAAAAGACGCAAATTCCTTCAAATCCATTTTTTTAACCCTTGAGCTTGCTAAAAGATGAACAAGAGTGCTAGTAGATAACGTAGGTCTGATTTGATCGTTTTGACCCTACGACTAGTTATAACTGGTGTATTTGCACCTTTTGTATGGGTGTGCCGTACATAATGTACATGATGTATGTTGTATGTTGTATCTAATTTCAAAATTTATCATTGATTGGGGCGCACTGAGACAGGGATGTGTTGGCGCTTGGCACGTTTAATTGCAACCAAAACTTCACACAAACCGAAAATGCCAAGACTTGTCATTATTTTGTGGTCCTTTGCAACTTGGAAGAATTTTTTTGCCGTCGATCCTTCGATTTTGACGAGGTGTACTTCGTAACTGTAGGTCGGTCTGAAAAATCTGTCTGCTGTATACTCCATATGGAGGGTCCGTATTCTATTTTTCCGCTGGCAGATGAAAAAAATTTGAATAAATCCTAGCCGCTATTTTCGGGGCTCCGGGGCACATGATGAAAAGAAATCAGAGCCGGAGACTGAACGACAACAATGTTTTCGGGGCGTCGGAGGTTATGAAAATAAAAAAAAAAATAAGAGCCGGAGGCTGAGCTATTTTTGGGGAGCCGACGCAGATGCAAAAACTAAATTAGAGCCAGAGACTGGGCTATTTTCGGGGTGCCGGGGCAGTTTTGTCGAAGCGGTGTAATCAACACGCTCGCCTCTGCTGGCGCCGTTATCTCCGCAAATGGCGAGCGATTTGGATTCATCCTGTCCTAGCAAGAAAACAAGTAAAAATCACAGCTATTAAGCCAAACATTCCTCCTTCGTTCCTAAGGGGGCCTGTCTTGTCGAGTTCGTGGACGGCGGTGGTAAGATCTAAGGCGACCAATTAATTCAATTCATCAGCAAAGGCTTACTTGCAAGCCGCGATGACTAGTTCCCTCCGAAAGAGGCCCTGAGCTAGTCACGGAACACACTTTGAGTGTCGGAGTTGTCTTCGCCGAACCTGTGAATTAAACTCTGTGGATCTCTCGCTTTCTTTCCTAGCGCGCCACAAAGATCACGCTAGGCTGTATTAGGTTTAAATGCACTAGGTGACAGCTAAGGGGGTACCAAAAAATCGCAATGGCGGTCTATGTTACGTGCGTGGCGTTGATCGTCATCATCAAAGTCCGGCTGCAACATTCTCTGATCCCTGCTCTGCATGGTGATCTTCCAATCGCTATCGATATACAGAGTAGAAACTCTAACTCAATTACCGGAGTTGTGGGCCCATCAACGGTCCATGAGGAACAATGGAGTGGTGAAATTTCAATGTGATCCGTGAGTTGCACGATGCCTCATCCTCCGCCCCCTCTGCCCGCCACCAGCGATCCTGCCCTAGCAGCGACCGAGACCAAAAAGGAGCCGACACCGCAAGATGGTGGCCAGCGTGTTGTTTCCATGGGCGATGCCCTCTTCATTGGCGGGCCCAACCCTTGGAGCCAATCCTTCTCTTGAAGTTGAGAATCCCCAAATCTAAAAATTCGTCGCAACGTCATGCATCTGGGTACGGGCAGCGCTAACTACATCAATCTCTACTCCGGGTGTATTGTGTACTATAAACTAGATCCCATTTTGAAAACCTAAAATCGTCGCCACGTTGTACATCTGGGTGCGAGCAGCGCTAAACATTTCTACTTTAAGCCTCATCCCGAAGTTACGGATTCCTTTCCAAAAACCTAAATGTCAACACTGTTCATCGTTAAATGTTTCTACTATAAACCTCATCCCGAATGTTTTTTAAAATCCAAAACATCGCAACTTCATGCATCTGGGTACGAGCAGTGCTGCGCATATATATCTATGGAGTGGGGACTATACGTACTAGAAATCGGATCCATTTTTAAAATTACTGGTACTTGTCGCCACGTCATTCATCTGGGTGCGAGCAGGCGCTAAACGTTTCTACTTTAAGCCTCATCCCGAAGCTACTTTCAAACCCCCAAACGTCGCAACGTCATGCATCTAGATACGAGCAGCGCTTAAGATCTCCACTCAATGAATGTGATTAGACAGGCCTGATGCCTCCGCTCCAGAAAAGTGTTTGTCGATCTTATAAATGTCCAGCTGCATCCGGGTGTTAAGAAGCTGTTAAAGGTGTAATAAGTGACAAGGCACATGGAATAAACTGGGGGGATCGGTGCGGTTTTTACGGAGTAGGTTCTCTTTCAGCCAGCGGATGAAGAAAATCAATCCGAGCTGAAGACCGAATTATTGCCGGGGCGTCGGAGCGTTTCGTCGAAGCGAGGATACAGGTCCCGACAACACAAGCAATGGATTCGAATCGGTAAGCTTGATGGGACGTATTTTAGTTTCGAGACGTATCGTATGTTTTACATCACCTTAGCTAATTGTTTACACGCACAACCTTCAAAAAGAGCATGTCTAATATTACTTAGGTAACAGACTGGTATGATTGATTCGATTCAAGGTGCATGACTTTTTACAAGTGTTTACCAAGTAGAGAATGGAAGAGAGCAGATGTTTGAAGACACGTATTTTATTAAAGCCATGTCAAACAGATGAAGCTAGTTCTCATTAGGCAATTAAATTTTTTCCAAAGCTGTCGATGTGGGTCTGTGTTGATCGTCGGGACCTGCAATCTGCGCCGGAGGAAAAGATCGGAGCGATTTATAGTCCGGTTCTACCGACAGATTAAAAAATTTTAAAATTGAAGCCAAACTATCTCTGGGGCGCTGTGGCATGTGGCAATTCCGTCGAAGCCAAAAATAGGAGAATATTGGATCTACTAAATTGTATAAAAGGGAACGTTCATGCTCTAGAATTGTAACATCATCAACCCCTTCTACAGCAGTGAGCAATCACCAATCCAAACCCAATTGCACCTTTGTTACATCATGAAAAACATCAATCTCTCCGCGTCTTTCGCGGTCCTTGCCACCATGGTTCCCCAACTGGCATTGGCACAACACTCCCACACTGAAGTCACCCTCGATGCGACATTTCGCACGCCCGCACCGCCGAATGATGCCTTCGCGCAAAACAGTCGTCATGTTTTAATCTCAACTTCGGTCATGTTCGGTATCGCTGTGATCTTCATGTTCATTGCCTCCCTCGATGGCAAGCGCTTCAAGTCTACGGTTCCGCAGGCAATGGTCCTTGGTGCGGCGTTTTGCGTCGTCCCAGAGGCCGTCGACAACTACCTGGCCGGTTGTTACTGGTCTCAATCGCATGCTCCCAACCAGCTTCTATTCATGCTCATGGGTCGTGAGTATGACTATTATGTTGGTGTGATGTGGTGGGCATTCGGCGCGATCCTGGGTTACCTTCTGTATGCGGTCCTCCTCCGTGAGGTTAAGACTGGCACTCTCTGGATCTGCTTGGGTCTCTCGGGACTTGCCGATATCGTTCTTGAGGAGATCTTGCTCGGCTATGGCGGTATCTACATGTACTTTGGCCACCAGCCCCTTGTGTTGATCAACAAGTTCCCATGGTGGTGGCTCTTCTCCAATGTATCCTCGCTGTTCCTCAGCGTCACGATCGCGTATCGCTACCGTGAATGGTTCAACGGCTGGAGAAGTGTTTTCATTCTTGCCCTGATGCCATTCTGCTACATCGGCGCCTTCACTCTCTCTGGCATGCCCGCTATCTTTGTGATCCAAGGCAATTTCTCTCCTCTTGTGACTGAGTTGGCTGGCCTCCTGACATGCGCCATCGCTTTGATTCAGACTGCATTCATGATGCATCTCATTCTGGAACGCAATCCTTTGGTCTTTGATGCGATCCCATCCCAGGAAGCGACATTGACGAACAGCAAATCTGTTGCTTCTAGCATCGCTAAAAGCTCCTCTCATGTGAAAGGCCCTGTGGTTCTCAAGGTTTGAGTTGCCATATTCCTTCAGTTTTCGCTGAAAATCTTGATTGGCACACTCCCCTCATAGTGTCAGTTTTCGAGCTCTTGCCGGCCTAGGCAAGAGTCAAATCTCCCCGTCGGGAACCGATTTCATTGTCTTTCTTGTTATGTATTATTCTATCTTGTTTCATACCATTCTTTCTTCTTGTCCATACTGTTCTTTCTTGTTTCAAACTGTCGGCGGCCCTAAGCGATTGTGTTTATCAGAAACCATCTTGTACAGAAAGGAATTGTTCTCCCTTTTCTCTTCTTTCTTCCAACCACCCTCCGGAAAACACGGACTATCCGAGTAGATAAAAACCGACGCAAAGATTTACTATCTAAGTCTAGTGCTTAGATGATAATATGTAAACCGGGGCTGTAAACGAACAACTCTTCCTACGTAACCTACCCTTTCTTGATTTCGCCGGCAGCGGCCCGGTTCCAAGTCGCATCGAGCTGGTCGGCGTTGGTTTATGCCTTTTTTTGTAGGGGAAAGCGCATGATTGTTGACCAGCCTTCGCACGCAAAACTTCACAGCAGTTTTTCAAACGTGTGGGTCTTTGTCACCTGCGAGTGTCCTTAAATAGGCAGGTTCCTGGTAGTGGCTCGCGGGAAACGAAAACGTGCCCGGGTTTCAGCCTCGTCTCGTGACTTCAATCATAATTCTGTGTGGAACGAGTGTCAGGGCCTGATACTATTCCATACTGTTATAATGATATACAGACGTTCTGCTTATCCTTATGACCTTTTGGCCTGGTTGTCTAGTTAGCGAGTAGCGGGGTGATTTGTTTACGAGATTTTGTCTGTACAAAGTCGAACATGTACGGAGTAACCTTGTCTCGGGTCTGTCAGGTTTTAATGTTTCTAATTTAATCTCGGTGCCTTTTCGTCATATCTCTTTCTTGATTCCTGGTGAAGTAAGGTGATAGTAGTATACATCAACCAGTATTGATATTTTGTATCAGGAGACGACATTCAAGGTATTTTCTAGGTGCATTTTTTATACCATCACAAGGATAATTATCATTCTGGCCATAAAAATAGGGGAGAAGCCTTTGCCAAGAAATGCCCTTGTTCACCAAGAGTGACGCAACGAATCTCCGGCTTCCAAGGCCGGGGAAGGGAGGGGCTGACGTATTACTCTCTCCTCTCGGTCTTCTAGTGTAAGCCCTGTGAGGGTCCTTTTCCCAAACTGCATTCCCTGATGACAAGGCTGGAATACATGTCCGCCTATATTTTACAATGTACGCCACACGCCATACAGGTGTACGATAATAAATATGTTGTAGTGAAGTTGCGGTGGTCGAGGTCCAAGTGAAGCTGTCCCTGTCAAGAATAAAACAACGTAATCAGTCTGCATGCCGCAGTGAGACGTGTACACATCTACAGAAGTAAAGTGAGTGTATGTGGTACATTAGATTATAGAAAATTGTAGATATTCAAATGTTACCATGTTGTCATTATATATTATAGATATTTTTGTTGTACTGCGTACAACAACGATGAAATGATTGAAAAAAAATTAAAATTAAAATTACCAAAAAAAAAGGATTATTACACGGAAAGTTACATTACCCTGAAATAAACCCCACTTTCCTGACTTCAGACCAATCTGGGCCCATGTTGCCACTTAAAATTCCTAGTCCGGCCCGTCATGTTTCGTACCGCCCCGGAGTCGTCGCGTCCAGGCCGCTTTGGGCAGTCTCCTTATCTTTCTTGGCTGGGGTCTCACTCTCCTCTCTCTCTTCCCTTTCTCAAGTCTTCTTTACTTCCTGTCATTCGTTTATCACATATCTTTGCACTTTGATCTGAAAGCTTGCCGTTTGCTTTACTTTTAAGAAATCTGTCATGATCTGCGAATAATCAAAAGTCCAAATGGGCAAATGTATGGAGTCCCACCTCAACCTTTATGATGCGGAAAATTGACCTTTCTCTTAGGGCGTTATGGTGTCGTCCTGGACGCAGGCTCCTCTGTATGTTGACCTAGTCTCGAAGACTTGAAATTATCTCACTAACCAACCGCATAGGGGACTCGCGTACACGTTTACCGATGGCTACGAAACGCTGCTGCACGAAAACAAGCCCACGCGAAGGAGTTGAAATCGCTACCGGAAATTAAAACTAAGGAGGAGTGGACGAAGAAGATTCACCCTGGTAAGCCTTCCTCGAGCCAAACAAACTCGCCAACAATCCGACACTAATTCACCTGCACAAAAGGTGTTTCTTCATTCGCCAATAAACCCGAATTAGTTGGATCAGACCATCTCGCTCAACTTTTAGACCACGCCAAGGGAATCATTCCTGTCGAGGATGCCAAGGATACTCCCATATTTCTCCTCGCCACTGCGGGCATGCGACTGCTAGGAAACCTCGAACGACAACTGCTTCTGGATCAGATCTGTTCATATGCTCGTGACAACTCGAATTTCTTGCTTCCGGATTGTGGCGTTCACATCCAGGTGATTCCGGGAGTGACCGAGGGACTATACGGATGGATTGCGACAAACTACTTGATGGGATCTTTTGTTGCCCCAGAAAAACACGACCACGGAAAGGGACACAACACCTATGGATTCCTCGATATGGGTGGCGCATCGGCCCAAATTGCGTTCGCTCCGAATGTTACGGAGACAGAGAAGCACGCCGAAGACCTCAAATTGTTGCGATTACGGAACATTGACGGATCGGTTCAAGAGCACAGGGTTTTTGTCACTTCATGGTTGGAGTTCGGCGTGCACGAAGCCCGACGACGCTATTTGGATGCTTTACAGGCGGCTACTGGGCCAGATATCAAAGAGTTGCCTGACCCTTGCCTTCCTAGTGGATTGCGGACTACGCTCGACGGCATAGTGGCATCGGCAAGCGAGACGGAACCCTATCTACTAGGTACAGGAAAATTTGATGAATGCCTCCGCCAGACATTCCCATTACTAGATAAGGATGCTCCGTGTGCGGATGAACCGTGTCTGCTAAATGGTATCCACGTACCAGCTATCGACTTCGATGTTAACCATTTTATTGGGATCAGCGAGTACTGGCACACGACCCACGAGATTTTCGAAATGGGATATAAGGACAAAGCATACGACTTCAACACCTATCAAGAACGGGTCCAAACATTCTGCTCGCAAGACTGGGACTCAATTGAGTACGGCCTCGAACAGCACAAATGGGGAAAGAAGGTTGATCATCAAAAGGCCCACGAAGTATGTTTCAAGGCATCATGGATCATCAATATGCTACACGATGGCATTGGGGTCCCTCGCGTGGGCTTGGAGGACACAACTGGCTCTTCGCACAACGGCACAAAAGAAGTCTTGGCTCACGGAAAAGAAAAAGGCTATCTTGATGCTTTCCAGGCGGTCAACAAGATTGACTCAACTGAAGTGAGTTGGACCTTGGGTAAGATCGTCTTGTACGCATCTTCTCAGGTGCCACTCGAGATCGAAGAAGGCCTCCCAGTAGGCTTTGGCAGCAATGTTCCTGGGATCCCGGCCGACTTCCAGTATCCCAGTGTTCAACTACTACCAGATTCAGACAGCTTCCACAGTGAGCACTGGCATGATACACTATTCGACGGTGATTCACCGCGCCGGATCCCAGGCTTCGTCCTCTTCATGCTCATTGTTATCTTGGCCGGCTTTTTCTTGTGCAGACGCAGCCGTCGATCGCGGATCTTCAACCGCGTGAGTAACATGTTACGCCGTGGTGGGCCGTCACACCCCAATCACCCGAAGAAACGAAAGGGACTCAAGTCGATGTTGCCATTCATCAGTCGAAGCGCCCCCTCTTATGAGCGAGTTCTCGAGGATGGTGCTCCAGATTACGAGCTTGGTGCCATCGAGTCCGACGGGGGCGAGGATGGTGGACGCGCTTCCGAGGCAGAGTCGGCTAGACTGGAACCACCGAAGCGAGCGTCGAGCTGGGGCAGCAACAGCAACACTCCCAGTTTCAAATACGCGTTGGATAACAGTTCGACTGGGACGATTGGTCTTGGGATCAGCGGTGGTGGTGGCGGCTCGGGCATCGCTATAGATCGAGCAGGCTTGGTAGTCAGGACGGAGAGCAGGGACCACCTGGCTCCCATTGCTCTAGGCCCTACAACCAACGGCCGTCGATCAAGAGCTGGCAGCCCCACTAGATCTCACCAGAAATCACCCAGCATGACGCCCCTGGCCGATGACTAACGCGACATATACACCTGATCCGAATTATGCATAATAACTTACCCTGCATTGCATTTTCACTTGGAGTTTGATTGCTCGACAAGCGCCGAATGGAGTCGGCGCTTTCGTTTTCTGTTTTAATGCAAAGAGAGTTCATCTTTTAATCGAGCTGCGTTAATTGTGGCCAGCTGCTTTTGATTCTTCATATTTATATTTCAACTCTGTGCTCTGGAGTGTTTTTTTGGGGGAAGGGGGGGGGGGGGGTGGGGTTGCGGTGCTTTGATCTCAGGCCGGCGATTTACACGTAATGAGTGTACTATTAGTGTGATTAAGAAAATTTTCCCTGAATATAGAATAATACATCGCCGAGGTCTTATCAGTATTGAACATTTTCACTTTCATGCCGAGGAGCTTCTTCATCAATTGACTTACGTATGCCAACTACCTGGTAACGTATTTCACTACCGAGCTACGTACACCACTAAGCTACGCACCCCGCCCAAAACTAGACTACGACATCGCCCGTCCATAGGCACCTAGGAGGTGCCCATCGCCTGTCCACGGTAGGCGGTGGGCTATTTAGATTTTCGAGTGCCTATCTATAACGCCTACGGTCTACGGGTATACCTATCCCGGGTATACCCACTATACCCACTATTATATAAAATCACCCAAAATAGATGTATAACTCGCTAACTTTATACATTAAATAACTG